AAATGTTTGCATATTTCCACAAATGCTATTTATGTGTTTCTGTAAAACACACCATAGTGAAAAATGTGGTATTTATTGCTCCACTGGATGGATTGATCACAAAGACACAATCAGCCTGTCCTATTAACCTGTTATGTATGTTTAGTTATTCGGTTTATTAAAAAGACTCTTATTTTGTGCAGGGACAAGAGTTTTATGCAAAGTATACGTTGCACAAATTGCCAAACCTCCCTACCAAAAAAAAAAAACCCCAAAAAACCCCCAACAACAACATGTGGCACCTCATATCAGAGGGAAGATCTCTCACCTGGGTTGAAGAACCCTGAAAGTTCTCTTGCAATGTTTACACAATTAGCTGCCATTGAATTTATTTTTTTAATTATTTAAAATATTCTTACCCCGCCTTTTTTCTTATGAGGACCTAATTCTCAGATCCCTATCAGTAACTAATAATTACTTATAGGTATAAAACAAAATTAATGTGCCTTTGATTTTCAACTCTTACCTGTAAGGTTCTTTTAAAAAACACAACTTATGTCTCTCACACCTCTATTTTGAGAATAAAAATATATATACCTTTGTGGTAAACACAGTATGTTCAGTGTAATCCCTGCATTCGTCAGATTCACAAAGGACAACTGCATATTCTGAGCAAAAGCTACTAGTTGTAAAATTCACTTCCACTTCTGAATCTGTGTAGCACACAAATATATTTGGGTCCCACAAGCTTCCTGTGGAGTATAAGGAAATCCCAGCTTAACATCTGCAATTTATTGATCAAGCCAACATGTTCCATGATTTTAGTAATTATTAAAGGACAATGTATAATTATTGCTATAGTACCTAAGTATTTTTACAATATAGGGAGACATTTATATTTAATTCTACTACTGCTTGTGTAATTATTTTACTTTGTTAAGTTGCTTTGCCAATCTTGGGATGCAAATGTGGGAAACAAATATGATAAACAAAGAATAAGCCAGTAGTCCCTAGCCACTTCCACTTCAGCCCTTACCTTCCTTTATACTTATTTACCATTTTGGAGACCACTTGTCTTCTAAAGGCGCTCACAGTGATACGCATGGATTCTTCTGTTTTATCCCCAGAACTCTTACTGCTCTTCCAACAAACGCAGTAAAGTGGTTTTATTATTCTGGATCCAGAATCTGACCCTTCCCTGGAGAGAAGGCTTAGCTTGCAGAAAGTATCACTGCCTAAAATTCAACAAATATGCCTTCACTGTGATAGCCCATTCAGAAGCTCCCTTCAACCTTCTGTGCAGTCTTTTCAGGGGTCTGGAAAGGTGGGGCGAGATGGAATTGGCTTATGCCAGCCCAATTTTATAGGTTTCAGTCTGGTTCCAATCCAGAATTTGGAAATGGAATTACCCAGGTAGTTTTAATACCATCTTTCTTCCCGTGCCTATGAGTAAAATTGACAGCTTATGTTAGGAAATAACAGCATAATTTAAGACAGTAGTTCCCAACCTTGGGTAACCCAAGTGTTCTTCGGGTGAAACTCCTTCACCACCAGCTATTCTGGCTGGGTTTTCTGGAAGTTGCAGCCTAAGAAGACCTGGGTTGCCCAAGGTTGGAACCACTGATCAAAGACATCAGTCTAGCTGATTAGCGGTATATTCCCCATCTTGCCTTAGAGCTTAATTATGGCAAAAAGGCAGAATATAAATCAAATAAATAAACAGAAATGCTAGTAAAGGCAAATGTTGAGAATTGAGTTCAGAATTGTTCTGAAAAACAAACTAGATGAGTTAAGAATCCACAATTGGTTTCCCTTAGGTTTTACCTCAGGGCTGAGCTACTAAAGGCCACATATGGCCTTAGATGTTTTTACTACACTCTGCAACTGAATTTCAGTGGTGAGATAGCATTTAAAAAGCAAGCATTTCCCCTATGTGACCTTGTGCCTTGATTTATAGGAGAATCACACACATATGGACACTTCAGGTATAGGTAGTCTTCCTCTAACATGAGACGTAGGATCCCCCTTACAACTTGGTTTATATGAAGAATGCTTTCTCCCCACTTCTGGTTGCCTTCAAACTGACATATTTTAATGCCATAGGACTCAGGAGGTAGCAAATCTGGCCCCTAAACCTGTCGAAGCTGCCAATATACCAACCCGGTGCAGAGCAGATACAGGGCATGGCAAGAGAAGACAAAATCCAGGTTGGGATTGTGGTGCTATGGAGCAGAAGGATTCTGCATCAGCCTAGGAAGATTCTGAATTCAAAGATTAAAAAAAACACAAAAGGGCACCATCATGCTTCAGAGAGTAATGTGGCTGCTAGAGTGAATATTGAGCCCAAGATTTGTAAATTGCTCTGTTTCCGAGAGTCTGACCAATAAAAGATGGCAATACTGTGCTCCACATCAAAGCAGAACTTGAAAAAAAACTATATATATGTTAACTATACTTCCTCAGATGCTCTCTGGAACTCTATTGGGTTTTTTTCAAACATTACAAAATTAGACTCTGTCCAACACAAATTTTTAACCCGACCACTAAGGGTACCAAGATCTACTGCCATGACCACAGTCCACTCCAAGACATCATGCTAGTCCATGGGTATGCTTGTTAAGAAAGTAGCAGTGCTGTTTAGCTCAATATAGTGTACCATATGGCCTCATTGCTGGTCTTACTGACCTATGAAAAGCAAAGTGTGCTGCTTATATACTGCCCATATTGCTTCAAGCACTCTCTGGGCGGTTTACAAGTTAATTATGCAGGCTACACATTTCCCCCCCTGCAAGCTTGGTACTCATTTTACCGACCTCGGAAGGATAGAAGGCTGAGTCAACCTTGAGCTGGCTACCCGGGATTGAACCCCAGGTCATGAGCACAGTTTTGGCTGCAATACAGCAGTTTAACCACTGAACCACAAGGCTATGAGGAAATGGGAAGGGACTCCTGGGCAGCTAAGATATCCACAATTATACCAAAGCTGGGTTACTCCTCAGCCTACCTCCACAGGATGGGACATGAGGCTGCTTGACCAGATACCATGAATGTATTACATTATATTGATATCCAGATTACCATGGCATCTGTGGTTTGCTGCCATTCCAATATGATATACAAAGGGTTTTCCTTACCTTTTGGAAAACTTCCCCCATATTTGTCCCTTGTTATATGCTCACAAGAGCTGAGACAACTGTTAACTAAGTGCAGATTGAAGTCGTTACAGTTGAAAGGGATTCAGGGACGTTACATGGACCAACAGGGTACAGAAGGACATTGTCCAGCAGGATGCTCTAAAATGAAGGACTTAGTATATTTTCTTACAGAATGTCCTCTATATGCAGATCTGAGGGACCAGTGTCTTAAACCCATAACAACTGGAATCAAGAACACATCTCCTTTATGCACAGTCCTGATCCCCCACCTCTATATCAATATTTGTCCCAAAGTAGCTACCTAGTCACTGTCTTGTGCAATATGGAAAGCAATAGTGTATTTCCACTTAGATTATGGTAATAATGTCAAGTTGTTAAGATATCTGTATATATTAAATTAACATAAGTAAATTTAATGCAAAATGTTCTGTTTAGTGTTCATTGTCCTCCTCTTGGCAATGAAGCAGTGGCTTATCTTTGTGGTGATGAAGCAGAGGTCAGTGCTAGTGCAGCCACTAGATCATTTGGCATGTAGTTTTCTGGGTCACTTTGGTTCTTTTCTTAAAACACAAATAAAAATGATGTTCGGTAATACTCTTCCAAGTTAGCATGTTTTCTTACATCATGAAACATATGGAACTAGTGTGAGATAACTGGCACTTACCCATTTCTATGCAAGTTTTGCAATATTTCAATGTATTATCTTGACAGTCTAAATTGAAACAGTATATTTTATACTTAGAAATGGTGCAAACTTTTTACATCAAGGCATTACATGCAACCAATGGATTTACAAGAGAAATTATTAAGACTAACTATGGAGAAGAATTTCTTGTACAAGCTGTTCAACAGTAGAACTAGTTGTCCTGGAACCAATGGAAACAGGAAGGTTTTTGTTTTGGGCAAGGTGAAAGTGAAGTGAAAAATTAAAATCCCCCCTAAAGATATGAAGATACAAATCCACCTACCCTCACTTGTTTATATTTCAGTAAAAGAGAAAAGGAGGCCAGGCTATATACTACATAGTCAGTAGAATACCTCTGCACTCCTAAACTGGATTCTTTTGCTACCAGATTTTAATGAATTAGTATAACCGATTTTTTTAAAAATGTTTGACAAAAAACCATTTCATACATTCCATATCTGCCAATCTGGGTTTGTCACAAACTCCAAACTCAACCAAATGCCTTTACTATCCCAGGTTCCTGATTACACTAGTACAGTGGTGTGACATCCGCCCAGATCATAAATACTAATAAGCTATTTGCATGTACCAATGAGAGTGCTGGAGAAGTGGAGTCACTAGATATAAGAGTCTCCGCAGGAGTAGGAGTAGAGAAAAGAGGTTTTGAAATTGGGAGTTTGGAGTAGAGAGAGGGAGGGTTGGCAGTTGAGGGTGGATGATGTGGGATGTTTAGTTAAGAGTTAAAGACATTGATTGTACCGTCATCACCTGTATTAATAAACGACTTCTATTTGGTTCTAATTAAAATGACAAATGGCCTGGACCTCTATTATTAATAATACATAATGTTGGTGCAATCAACTGGTGGCAGTGACAAGACACGTAGCTTGTGCCTTTGATTGGTGAAACAACCAAGGGGCAGGCAAGAACATGAGAAGTGGTTCCAAAAATGGGTCCCCGTGTATTCCTGGAATAAAACTCCCAGAAACTTTCACCATTAGTTGTGCTGGCCAGGATTTCTGGGAGCTATAGTCCAGGAACACCTGGGCACCAAAGGCTGGGAACCACTAGTACAATATATACATTCATGAATTTACAGAGGAGCTATCTACACTGGATGATCTGCTAGATGCAACCCGTTACATTGGTTTGCTAGATGTAGCCAATAACTTTTAGGTGAGAAGGCAATGTATATAACATATTCATTAATAGACAAGAGTAGTTTTGGCCTCCTTTTCTGCTACAGTTCTACTATTACTACATCAGCTATTATTATTAAAAAGCAAAACCCATACAACTTATTTTCACTTTCACTTATACAAACCCACACGTCTTTGTTCAATTACCTGGAGAAGTAAGCTTTATTATTTTTTGAGGGATATCTTCAAATGGATTTGCTGGTGGTATGTTAGACGCCTCAATGAAGTACTCTGTATTTTCTTCTACAGAGAACCCAACATAGTGGAACTGCCACTGAAATAAAACATGTCTTGATGAACACATTTTCCTCTCAGATTTGAAGAAACCCACAGCCTTTCTCTGTATTTCTGAATCAACAACAACAACAAAAAGAAGATGCTGAAACATAATCAAAACAAAGGTACAGTGGGGGCTTGACTTGAGAACTTAATCCGTATTGGAAAGTGGTTCTCAAGTCAAAAAGTCTGTAGGTCAAGTCTCCATTGACCTACAGTGCATTGAAAACCAATTAATCCTGTAACAGGCCGTTTTTGTTCCATTTTGGTTTTTTTCTGGTCTGTAAGTCAATTCTCAGGCTGCAAGTCAAACCTAAATTTTGCGGCCAGAGAAGTCTGTAACTCAAAAAGTCTGTAAGTCAAGCCGTCTGTAAGTCAAGGGTCCACTGTACACATTTCTCAGTTTTTCCATTTTGATCTATTTATTGCCTAGTGCCAGAACAAAACACTGAACTGGATATAATGCCTTTGAATTTCCTACCAGATAATTTGTACAGTAGTACCTCGATTTACAAACTCCTCGGTTAACATAATTTTCGGTTTACAAATGGAAATCCATTGAAAAGAGCCTCGTGGGACAGTGGTTAAAATGCTGTACTGAAGCTAAAACTGCGCTCACGACCCGGGGTTCAATCCCAGATAGCCAGCTCAAGGTTGACTCAGCCTTCTTTCCTTCTGAGGTTGGTAAAATGAGTACCCAGCTTGCTGGGGGGGGGGCGGCAATGTGTAGCCTGCATAATTAACTTGTAAACTGCCCAGAGAGGGCTTGAAGCAATATGGGCAGGATATAAGCAGCACGCTTTGCTTTGCTTTTTGCTTTGAAAATAATGCCTCGTTTACTTTTTTGTTAGTTTGTTTCAGTTTACAAAGAATTTTCCCCAGGATGCACTGTTCCTGGGGGTTTATACCGCCGCCTCTCTTCCTAAGGCAATACGCACTCTGGTTCACAAATTTTTCACTTTACATAATGTCCCATAGAACACATTAATTTTGTAAACTGAGGTACTACTGTAGATTTTTTGACAGGGTGCCCTCTCAAAGACTGGCTTCCTCCAAAATTGATATACTGAGATAGATAGGATGCTAAGGTATTTCATAAGTAATGCTTCCCTGATTGTGTCAGCTATGCCTAAAGCTTGATTTAATGACCACACACACATTACTTCTTCATTTATTTACATGCTGACTATTACCAGCATACTAAATCTAATATCAGGGCAGAATATGGGGAAACAAGATGGTTTCCAATACACAAAAGTATCAGACAGGTGGGTATTTCATCTGTCTGTTCAGTCCTTAGGCAGAACATGCCATATGAAAAGCCAATGTGCTATTAAGAGAGGCAGCTGCTGAGACACCCTGGACATCCCATGGTTGCCGGAACCCGATGGGAGAGCAATGCCGGGACAGATGTTATCTCAATACTCCAAGTGGTTCAGCTTCCCATTCTTCTATGAAAGGCACTTGAAACTTTGATTCCACTGGTCTTATTTAAACCATGGGGAGAGTGGGAAGGACAGCTGAAAAACTGTCCTCTGATTTCTTTCTTTTTCTCCACCGTAGTGGAGCCAGGGGTTGCAGAGTGAAAGCCCCAGAAGTTTGTGAGTAGCAGGGATCATTACATCAGCTTTCACCCCTCAGGCTTCCCTGTTCCCTCCTTACCTGTTGCAATGCAAAGTGTCTGACAGCAGCTTGGTCTTGAAAGGGCAAGTAAGAGAAACTAACGTTACCAAAAAAAGGGGCTCTTCATTTGTTGATATGGAGTGATCCAGCTATCTATATTTTTGGACTGTATTGGGGTCATATGACCCATATGAAGTCTAAGCCAACCAGTAGGGATTTTTTTTTTAAAAAAAAGAAAAAATATCTTTTTTTTTCCTTTGTTTTCTTCTTCTTTTTTCTACTGATTGGCTTCAACTGTGCATGGGTCATATCACTAAAATTTAGTAAAGAAAGAAAAACTGTACTGGTGGCGGCTAGGGAGACTGTCACAATGAGGACCTGCACTTCCAAAGGTATAGGAGCGAAGAAATTCCTTTGTACAAATTCCCTTTGTAGATCTTTGAGTGATTTGCATTAACCTGGCAAGGGGTTCCCACTCCCAGATTTTTAAAAAAGAAAAAGAAGAAAGACGTTTTTGCTGCCTTAATGAGGTAGCTGAAATGTCAAAAGCTTGGGTAATGAGGAATGTTTATGAAAGAACTGAGACAATGATTGCGTGATCGGTCATGTAACAGATTGCATGGTTGCCCCTTATGGGGCTTTTTTCAACAGGATTTCTCGTCTTTTAAAACTTATTAAAAATGCTCTTGCCTTCTGGCCATTGAAGTTGTTCTGGCTTTCAAACTTTTCTGTGTAATCACATCTAATGCAGGCTCGGTTTCCAGCTGCCCTGGACACACATATCTTAGTGCCATTCAGGTATCTGATGCTGGCTGGAAATAAAGAAGAAGAAAAGGAGGAAGGACATTGTATTCCTGAAGCAATTAAGTCCATTTTATAACTTTTTTTTTGTTTAATTTTCTCTTAAAGAGCAGCTTCTAAAAGCAAACAAAAATCCCCCTTGTGTCTCCTCCTGCCGCTGCTGCTCCGCTTCCCCATTTTAAAAAGCCAAGCCAAGCCACACACAGACACAAAGACAGGCACATATATACTCAGGGGCTCAAATACAAGAAGTTTGGGCTTTCCAAAGGCAGACTCCTCATGGAACTGAGGAACTGTTTAAATTGCCAATCATGAAGTACCTCTCTCATTAAGCACTTCACAAGATCAGCAAATTGAAGGAGGAAGGCTTTCTTTTGTCCATTCCCAGTGATCACCTGCACTGCAGATGAATCAAAGGAGAGTGATCCCATCAGCAGCAGAAAAGCACACAGCCCTTGATAGGGACCAGAGAAGTTCGGGTGGGAACACTCAAGGGTGGGCTGGTTTGCTCTAGTAAATGCATTGTTCGATTGCCATCTTTAAGAGCACACCAGCCCATCCCTGCAGCCCTCCAAACATCAGACTAACTGTCTGACAGCACTTTAAGCTCAACGAAAAGGATTACAGTTCTAAATAACTAAACTGATGTATATAACTAAACATGCCAAAGGCATTAAGCACAAAAGCAATCTCTTTTAAAATAAAAAACAGAACAGCTATGTTGTGGGTTGATAAAATGAAAGTATCCATTGAAAATGCTCTTAAAATACACTAAGTTGTTCCCCGTTCCCCCAGTTTCATATATTCCAGGAAAGACCTGTACTCTTGCTTCGAACTACCCTCTCCCCTAAACTGAAATAAAAGTCAACAGAGAAAGTCACAGGAAAGTGGAACATTTTTTCAAAATCCTGCTAAAAAAGCCATGCCCATATATATTGCAATATAAAGTGCAAGAGCTTTAGAATCCATTCATTATCCTGACTATCAGACATACCATCTTCTGTAAGGATCCAGGTTATATTAAACTGGCAATCAACAATCTCAGCACTAAGATCAAAAAGATCTGATGGCGTGAACCTGTGGTGCATCATCAACTCAGGAGAAGGCCCTTGTAAGGATTAAAAATCAGAAATTAGCACTTTTGAAACAATTACTTATTTGAAGCACATGTTCCCTTATGTTTTTAAAACTGGAACTTTCAGCATAAGGGTTGGTCAAGAGCATCCACAGTAATCTTTCAGAACAAGGAAAAGCTGTCTAGAACTATATTAGTAGACCAACCATAGGACTAGAGGGGTGGGGGAAGTCTTTAGTTTCAGTAAATCACCGCTGCCCATAAAATCTTCCTAACAGGAGCAATTTTCTTTCTCCATCTTCAACATTTTCCCCATGATAAGTGGGATCCTACAGGAGCCCAATGACTTCTAGAAGGGTGAGGGACTGGGACTGTTTTATTCCCAAAAAATCACTGTGGCCAACGATACAATCAGCTTTACATGGCAAGACTTATGGAACAGGATTTCAGCCATTATGTATTTCTGTGCACATGAAAACAATAAATAGATCCAAATGCCCCCATTTTCTCTCACAGAAGCCCATGGTTTGCCATTTCCATTGTTGTAATACATATAACTAAGATTCCTTCTTGACATACTCAATAAAGTACAACACAACATAATTTAATAAGTCGTTACTCCAATAGGGTCTTCAGAGAAGCACAGGTTGATTCCAATGATGGTATCACTCACAGCAAAGAGGATGTTATGAACAACACCCAACATGAAGATGATACAACATTACTAGTTGACAATTCACATGGTCTGCAAAGGTTTCTAAGGAAAATCAATTAAGTACATAATGGTCTAAATATGAATTTCAAGAATTCAAGTTCATAGCAATCACTAAAAACAAAGTGTAAGAAATTAAATCACACATTTAAAAATTCAAATACTGTAAAGGTTGACAAATATAAATATTTTGGATTGTGGTTGAATGGCCATAGCCATACAATATTCATAAAGATACAGAGAGGTTTACCATTTTTAAGATGAAGAATGTAATGTTCAACAAAAACTTGAAATTGTTTTTTAAAATGTGCACTGTATGATGCTATGTATTCTTGGTTCTATGCATGGAATTGTGGGCTTTAACACAACCATTATGAGCAAGATAGAAGCACTTGAAATTTGGATTTATTTCAAGCTGCTAAGAATTCCTTGAATCAGAATAATGTCCAATGAAGCATTATTAAATTAAATGAAGAACCAAACGCAACAATATTGAAAAATGGAAATACTGTAACATTTTAGTCTTTAAACCCCTTGATCAAAATTAGTTGTAATCAGTTAATCTGTCACTTAAATCTTGTTGCCCCTACAAAAGTGAGCTACAATAGGATAAATAAATAGCTACCACACAAAATACGTCTGTATGGATCTCTTATGTTTTAACAGTGAAGACAAATGTTTTATTTATTTTTATACATACCATTTTCTACACCACACGTTATGAACTACAACAAAAAAGAAAACCAGAATTAAAATCAAAGAACAAATAAAATATTCTAAAAATGTAAATCTTTGACAGTAGAATGATACCAGTTTTAATTCAGCACAAAGTTTTCAGAATGTTGTGTCACTCACGTCATTTTCTCTACATTTGGTTGTCCACACATTTCACAAAACTATAGTGGTTCTCACTGTTAAAGTTTTCACTGATTAAAATACAAAGATTTCTCTCTCTCTAATTGCAAAAGCCAAAAAGGAATTGTGATATGGAAAAAAATAGTTTCTCCTGGAAATTAATTGCTTAATTTCAAACATGCATCGTTATAGATTAATACACACAGAGAGAGAGAAAGAAAGAGAGAAAAATTTTTTTAAGAATAGCACCTCAGTCAAGGTTTTTCTGGATCTGTTTGAGAGATGCAGTTAAATATTAACATATGTTTAGATGCTAATGTATGTATGTATGTATGTATGTATGTATGTATGTATGTATGTATGTATGTATGTATGTATGTATGTATGTATGTATGTATGTATATATGTATATATGTATACACACATTTTGTGTATATATACACATACGAACGTCCTTCCGGAACGGATTAAGTTCCGAGGGTAGACTGTATATACACATTTTCAGTATAAGACTGCTTAACTTGTAGAATTTTGGAACGGATTAAGTTTGTAAGTCGAGGGTAGACTGTATATACACATTTACAGTATAAGACTGCTTAACTTGTAGAATTCGTTGAAGAAAACATTTTGGCATCCACATTTTCTAGTTGCTCTAATAAAAATACATTGTTTCCTGGACAGCTGGTATAGAACCCAAAGGACAATATTCTGAAGCGTATGAACATGCCATTATGTATTGCCCTTTTGGTTCAGGCCATGAAGTACTGTATTAAGATAGCCAGTCTCTAAATTAGAAGTTCTTGACCAAAGGGCTGCTTCTAGATATAGCTGTTTCCAAAATTGATTTTACGAAGAGCTGATTTCTACATGGTATCTAATTTTTAAAAAACTATTATATGCCAAATTATATATTAAATTTCCTTGCTATACCTAAGAGCAATTGCTTTATACAGTGGTGCCTCGACTTACAATCATAATCTGTTCCAGAACATGGGCGTAACTCAAAATGGTCGTACGTCGAAGCACCATTTCCCATAGGAATGCACTGAAACCCCATTAATCCGTTCCAGCCAGAAAAAAATTCCAAAAAATAAAACAAAATAAAACACTGCAAGCCCCATAGGAATACACTGCAGCTAAACAAACAAACAAACAAACAAAAACCCCACACTCACACACAGCCAGCCCTAGAGGAACGCCATGGGACTGGTAAAAAAACCC